GGAAGTTTTGTGGTTCATTTGGCACTGGTATTGCCTGAATCGGGGGTCGGAGCTGAGAGGAATCAGCTCAGAAAGTCGGCTCCTTCCCCCCCCCGAATCCAGCAGATTCTGGGTTTATAAAAATTGAAGTTCGAGATATTTACGGTTATGCCACTGAACTTCTTTTGCTCGTAACTCCTTCATTACAACTCCGTTTTGAGTCCACTACATGTCTACGGACTCGTTTTGTCGCATTCTACGCAACAGTATAACTGGAATCCTCAAATTCCTTCCCGGTCAAAAAGTCAACTTTTAAACTAATAAAATATTCTAGGGGTATTTTAGTCTTTTTCTCAAATAAATTAATAATTAAATATTAATTTTGGGTTTGGGTTATTACAATATATCTGAGAACACAACATCTTAACCTTAATTTATCGAGTAAATAGCATATTTTTCTAAAAACATCATATCTTATGGTGTAAAAGGCCTATATATCTGGTAACGCAACATCTTCCTGGTAATTTATTGCGTGAATTGCCTATTTTTCTGAAAACACTATAAATTACGATAAGTTATAGTGTAAAATGCCTATATATCTGAGAAAACAAAATCTTACTCGTAATTTATTGAGTAAGTAGCTTATTTTTATAAAAACACCATATCTTACCGGTAAGTTATCGTGTAAAAAGCCTATATATTTGAAAACGCAACATCTTACCCGTAATATATTTTGTGTAAATAGCAAATTTTTCTAAAAACACCATATCATAAGGCTAAGTTATAGTGTTAAATGCCAATATATTTGAGAACGCAACATCTTACCCGTAATTTATTGAGTAAATTGCGTATTTTTTGAAAAACACCATATCTTACCGGTAAGTTATAGTGTAAAAAGCCTATATATTTGAGAATGCAATATTTTACCCGTAATTTATTGAGTAAATAGCCAATTCTTTTTAAAACACCATATCTTATTGGTAAGTTACAGTGTAAAATGTTTATATATCTGAGAACGCAACATCTTAACCTTAATTTATCGAGTAAATAGCATATTTTTCTAAAAACATCATATCTTATAGTGTAAAAGGCCTATATATCTGATAACGCAACATCTTCCTGGTAATTTATTGCGTGAATTGCCTATTTTTCTGAAAACACTATAAATTACGATAAGTTATAGTGTAAAATGCCTATATATCTGAGAAAACAAAATCTTACTCGTAATTTATTGAGTAAGTAGCTTATTTTTATAAAAACACCATATCTTACCGGTAAGTTATCGTGTAAAAAGCCTATATATTTGAAAACGCAACATCTTACCCGTAATATATTTGTGTAAATAGCAAATTTTTCTAAAAACACCATATCATAAGGCTAAGTTATAGTGTTAAATGCCAATATATTTGAGAACGCAACATCTTACCCGTAATTTATTGAGTAAATTGCGTATTTTTTGAAAAACACCATATCTTACCGGTAAGTTATAGTGTAAAAAGCCTATATATTTGAGAATGCAATATTTTACCCCGTAATTTATTGAGTAAATAGCCAATTCTTTTTAAAACACCATATCTTATTGGTAAGTTACAGTGTAAAATGTCTATATATCTGAGAACGCAACATCTTAACCTTAATTTATCGAGTAAATAGCATATTTTTCTAAAAACATCATATCTTATAGTGTAAAAGGCCTATATATCTGATAACGCAACATCTTCCTGGTAATTTATTGCGTGAATTGCCTATTTTTCTGAAAACACTATAAATTACGATAAGTTATAGTGTAAAATGCCTATATATCTGAGAAAACAAAATCTTACTCGTAATTTATTGAGTAAGTAGCTTATTTTTATAAAAACACCATATCTTACCGGTAAGTTATCGTGTAAAAAGCCTATATATTTGAAAACGCAACATCTTACCCATAATATATTTTGTGTAAATAGCAAATTTTTCTAAAAACACCATATCATAAGGCTAAGTTATAGTGTTAAATGCCAATATATTTGAGAACGCAACATCTTACCCGTAATTTATTGAGTAAATTGCATATTTTTTGAAAAACATCATATCTTACCGGTAAGTTATAGTGTAAAAAGCCTATATATATGAGAACGCAATATCTTACCCATAATTATTGAGTAAATAGCCAATTTTTTCTAAAAACACCATATCTTACTGGTAAGTTACAGTGTAAAATGCCTATATATCTGAGAACGCAACATCTTAACCTTAATTTATCGAGTAAATAGCTTATTTTTCTAAAAACATCATATCTCACCGATAAATTATAGTGTAAAAAGCCTATATATATATATCTATCTGATAATGCAACATCTTACCCGTAAGTTATTGCGTGAATTGCCTATTTTTCTAAAAACACTATAAATTACGGTAAGTTATAGTTTAAAATGCGTATTTATCTGAGAACGCAAAATCAATGCCTATTTATTTGAGAACGCAAAATCTTACCTGTAATTTATTGAGTAAATAGCTTATTTTTCTAAAAACACCATATCTTACCGGTAAGTTATAGTGTAAAAAGCCTATATATTTGAGAATGCAACATCTTACCCATGATTTATTGCGTAAATAACATATTTTTCTAAAAACACCATATCTTAAAGCTAAGTTATAGTGTTAAATGCCTATATATTTGAGAACGCGACATCTTACCTGTAATTTATTGAGTAAATTGCATATTTTTCGAAAAACATCATATCTTACCGGTAAGTTATAGTGTAGAAAGCCTATATATCTGATAACGCAACATCTTACTTATAATTTATTGAGTAAATAGCCAATTTTTCTAAAAACACCATATCTTACTGGTAAGTTACAGTGTAAAATGCATATATATATATATATATATCTGAGAACGTAACATCTTAATCTTAATTGATCAAGTAAATAACTTATTTTTCTAAACACACCATATCTTACCGGTAAGTTATAGTGTAAAAAGCCTATATATTTGATAATGCAACATCTTACCCGTAATTTGTTGCGTGAATTGCCTATTTTTCTGAAAACACTATAAATTCCGGTAAGTTATAGTGTAAAATGCCTATATATCTGAGAAGGCAACATCTTACCCGTAATTTATTGAGTAAAAAGCTTATTTTTCTAAAAACATCATATCTTACGGGTAAGTTATAGTGTAAAAAACCCTATATATCTGATACCGCAACATCTTACCCGTAATTTATTGTATAAATAGCATATTTTTCTAAAAACACCATATCTTAAAGCTAAGTTATAGTGTTAAATGCTTATATATTTGAGAACGCAACATCTTACCCGTAATTTATTGAGTAAATTGCATATTTTTCGAAACACAACATATCTTACCGGTAAGTTATAGTGTAAAAAGCCTATATATCTGAGAACACAACATCTTACCCGTAATTTGTTGAGTAAATATCCAATTTTTCTAAAAACAACATATCTTACCTGTAAGTTATAGTGTAAAATGCCTACATATCTGAGAACGCAACATCCTAACCTTAATTTATCTAGTAAATAGCTTATTTTTCTAAAAACATCATATCTTACCAGTAAGTTATAGTGTTAAAAGCCTATATATCTGAGAACACAACATCATACCCGTAATTTATTTAGTGAATTGCCTATTTTTCTAAAAACACCATATCTTACCGGTAAGTTACAGTGTAACATTCCTATATATCTGAGAAGGCAACATCTTACCCGTAATTTATTGAGTAAATAGCTTATTTTTCTAAAAACATCATATCTTACTGGTAAGTTATAGTGTAAAAAGCCTATATATCTGAGAACGCAACATCATACCCGTAATTTACTTATTAGGCCATCTCCAGAAGTGGAGGGCTAAACATAGCCCATCTATAAAATTTAACACACTGTTTATAGTTTTTTTTTAATCAATAGTGATGGACTATATTTTTATTGTAAAATAGACCTGAAATAATAATAATGGCTAGCTGACGTCAGCAGATCTGAAATAGCACATCCATGAATATGGCCAAGTTTAGCTCAGCACTTGGTCTCTTCAGCTTGCTAACTGGGTTTGACCAGTGACATGGCAAGTTTAGCCAACTTGCTGGAAATGGCTTTTGGGGTATGAAAAGGCTTAATTTGTGAGTTTAACCCACTACTGGAGACAGCCTTAGTCTTCATGGGGGCTAATTCTTCTTATTTCAATAATATATCTTCATTATATTATACATAGAAAATAGAATAATTTCATTGCCACAAAGAAGATAAATAATTATTTTTTCAATGATTTGGAGCCTTGATGTAACCAACGTGAGTGGAGTCGGCAACCTTAGTTAAAGTTTTCAAATCATAAGCTATCAAACACCTTGATGTATGTTGGTTGTAAAAGTAGCCCAAACACTTGCAATCCGATGTACATTTACTAGCACAAGCATTCTCCTTCACACCATATCCCTCTGTGTCTTTGCTAAAGTGATCTACTCCTTCAACTTTATAGTAATGAAAGCTGTTTGCCTCGCAAGAAGGCAAGAACTTAGCTTCTTAGGCACACGGCTCTTGCTCCAAATCAATAGTCTCTTGGACGATGGGCAACCAACGCATTGGTTGTCCTCACAAAGGCCAAACTTCCCACATCGCTCGGGCGATTCACACTCACTGATTTCCCATTGTGGTAAATCTCTACTGAAAAGTGTGAAGGTTACCTCCCATGCACCCCAATTTACGTCTTCGTAGTAAGTGTAAATCCTAAGGTTTCCATCGATTTCAAGCCTCAGGAACGAAAGCATGCTGTTGTATTTGGGTCTAGCCAGAAGGAATTTTGTAGCATAAGAAGATGGCTTGGCCTGGATCTAAGTTTATGTCATAGGCATGGCCCTCATATGTGTCCGGGGTGCAATTCAATGTCATATGGTCCCATGATTCGGTTATATCAGATCTCATATTCAAATAGGGTAAAGGCTTTGGAGAGTTCTTGCTCTTATAGTGCATAACCAATCCTTTAGGCCCCAAAATCAAGCTATAAGCTCCATTATAATTTTCTTTCACGGAGGCTCGTCTGTTGGGTAGTCAAAGCTTTGCCAAATAAAGTTGCTCTTGGTCATTGAGTTGTAGAGGACCATGTTTCCAGTTGGAAGCAGCTTGAGGCCTACCACACCTTTGTTTTCAGTGTTGGTTTGCCATGCCACTCGGCCATCCGTGTCGGTAAACAAGGTTGCTGTCTGTCCCGAATGTGAGAGTGGCGTTTTCGCCAACCCGTTTCCCCGGTTGACCTCCCAAACCCAAGCAAGGGTGGTTTTAAGTACTTGAAGAAATTCCCATTTGCAGAGCAAGAGTGAAGGTGTTGGGGGTGGTGTTGTAGAAGCAAAGTTGAAGGGGGTAGTTAGAAACATTGAGAACTCGATATGTAGCATCATATTCTACAAGAGAATAGTTAGGAAATGGTATATATATCCTTGGAGAGGATCTTCAAACTCTCCTCTCTTGAAAAACTTGAAAGTTTGATTTGTGGGAACTTAAGCTTGAGCAATGGAACAAATGTTTGAGAAAATGATAAGGGAGAGCAATGACATGGTGACTTAGGGGAGTTCATTTTCTATAGCTTGCTTAAGGCCTAGATAAACCCTCTATTTAATTATGATTGAAAATCAAGGATAATTATGTAACTACACTCAGCCCTTTACAGCCTCAAAGAGAGATAACTAATGCCTTTGAAAAAATCGACAGTATGGATATGTAAATTTTGCTGTAACCATTAAAGATTGATCATCGTTTAAACTGTATTAATTTAAAAATAATTTAGACTCTTTATTACTGGGTGCCATATGCTGAAGGCCGGCTCTATGACATGCTTTACCCTTTCAATTAGTGAAGGCTTCGAGGGCCATTCGCATTCAATATTAAAACAAAAACAAAAATGCAAGTACGCATGCAATAATATTAATATGGTATTGTAACTTCTTTCTTTATTTTTAAATTTCTATGTTGATCTGTGTTAATGATCAAAGTTACGTTGTTTTTTAGGCTTATAATTCTTTATTTTTTATTTTTTATTTTTTTATAAAATGCAAACGATAGCCACCTAGGCATTTAATTGTCTTTGCTAATGTTTGGTTAACAAAGTGGTTTAAATGTAGGGTTTTTAGGAGTTTGTGTATGCGTTTGTAAATGTCCGACAAATCATGTATGAATTAGAAAAATTCTTTATAGTTTGGGAGGTTACACGTAGATAAATTATACATTACTCCAATACCACACTATAATTACTCAAAAATAAGTATTATACGAATACAAGAGTACACTATTGGTATATGTAACTTGGTTTGAAAAACCCCTAGACTTTATTTCTGATGTCTTGTTTGAGAATTGTAATCGTTAATTTGTACGGGAAGCTTTTTAGGGTGACGGGTTTTCTCTACTCTGTTGGTTCTGCTAGAGAAATTCATCTAACCTTTGAGATATTGTCGGACCATTCTGTAATCTTGGTTCTCCTCCTATCAATAATTCACTATCGTTTCTCCTCAAAAAAATAAAAAAGTAACTTTAACTGTAATAGATGTGGGCTTCTTAAAAACCCAATGATATGTCATATGTGGTTTTGGACTGGATGTTAATAATTTATCTAGAACTGAGGTTGAAATATAAAAATTGGGGCCGATAGTTGGTGCCCGTGATGTTGCTATTTAAATATAGTACATAAATGTTGTCATCCTTATTATATCTATATATATAGCAAAATATATATAAAATCCATTATTGCAAGATTACAAATATGGAAAGAGGGAAATGATATACTTAAAAGTTTATATTATGAATAATAAGCTTCTCCATTACTCCCTAGGAAACTTTTGAACCACCAAGTTGAGAGTTTTGGTAGTCTTTTTAGCCCATTATTGTAATCCACATAATTGGTACCAAATCGAACAGTGAATCCCTCGTTCCATTCAAAGTTATCTAGTAATGACCATAGAAAGTATCCCTTCACGTTGACACCATTTCTAGACAAAAAAAAGAAGAAGAAAATGTGTAAAAAAACAAAGGCACTGATTTCTAGGTAATGGTTCAATAACTAAAATGTAAGAAGGCTAGCCTCAATTAATTTGTTAAGGAAAATACTTTCATTTTACTATTGTAAGTATGAACTTCTCCATTCTTGATGACAATAGTTTGACATGTGTGTAAAACAATTTATTTTGTGTTTTTGATGAATTATTTTTGCACATGTGTCAAACCATGATTTGCAAGAAAGATGAGTATCTGCTTCCAAGAAAGAAGGCAAATCATATCCATTTGTTAATAAGATCTTACTTGATTGCAGTTTGAACGTAATAGAGGTGGAGAATGTGATAGTCAACTCTGTGGGTATCATAAAGAGCTTCCTCAAGTGATAACTTTGGATCATTAAATTCATCAATGCCTACAATACAACATGCTCATTGTTACATATAGTTTTGAATTAGACATTGTAGCACTAACGGTATTTTATATAATATATATATATGTGAAACATTGATGATGTAACTAATTAAGGTTAAAAATAATTACCATTCTCAGTAATATAAATGATTGGATCATTATACTTTTCCTTCGTGTAGAGTAACAAATTTTGAATACCTATTGGATAAACATTTAGCCAGCTTGAAGCACCCTGCATTTCAATTTGTAGATAATTAAGAGTGACAAACAATTAATCATCCAATTGTACTCACATGAAAGCGATAAATTGTGCAACTAATAATTAAGTTAAAATTTTGATGTGTACCTTTGCACCAATGGGAACCCCATTCCGCTCAGCTACCACAACATATATTAATAGGGTCAGAGTCTAAATATTCTAAGAAACTTAAGCTGCTTGAAATAAGTTTCCAATTTGTACTCACATGAAAGAGTCACTCGAACATCTGTTAAGTAGCTTGCATGTTCATAAACATTATTAGATGCATCGCTTGCATAGTGACTAGTATAGTAATTTAGTCCAAGAAAATCAAATGACCCAATTAGTGCCTTGGATTGTGCTGTTGTGAATTTTGGTAAGCGCGTTCCAACAAGAGACCGCATGTTGTTCGGATAATCACCACTTGTCAATGGTTCCATAAACCTACAAAGTAATGGAAATCCCGAGCATGAACTAAATATTCTATTATTGGGTAAATTTTATCTTCGTAAATAAACATTTAACTGAGTTGATATATAAATTAATGATATACTTGCCATCCCAAAGTAAACTCCAATGCTCTTAATGCAGCCTTTTTATCTTCATTTGCCTCTGAAAGAGGCACAAACCATGGTGTCACGAGCGTTATTCCTATCTCACCCTTTTGATATGCCTGCAAAAGAGAAATGGATAACCTTATCTCACTGCACAATACATTCCCTCTTATATTTCACCTTAAAATTAGTGACTCGTATAGAATTTTCAATAGGACCCAATATGTTAACCAAAAAAGAAAGAATTGTTTTTAAACCTGAAATTTATTCTTGTACAAGTTTGCAGCAGCAGCATGAGCAAGTAGAAGGTGGTGTGTCACCAAATATGGTTCAATAGCCGAATTTCCACCAGTGCAATTTAGTTTCTGCCAATTAGAACATCGTCCTGGTGCGTAACACCCCAAAACATAGCCATTGATACTATAGGTATATGGCTCATTCAATGTGGTCCAGTACTTTACTCGATCACCAAATTCCTTATAACAAAGTTCTGCATAGTCTTGAAAATGATTGCTGTATATATATACATACTTAAAATATATGTCATACTAATATGTATTCAATAAAATAATTAAAATTAAGTTATATAGAGGATATAATTGGTTGACTCACACAATTTGATCGCTTAAAAAACCACCATATTCGTCTTCCAAAGCTTGGGGAAGATCCCAGTGAAAAAGTGTGACAAATGGCTCTAGACCTATATATACACAATCAGTAAAAGAAATTAAAATTTTGACTGAATGATATATTTATGAGTGCATGAAATGTGAAGTGATTCACCATTTCTGAGAAGTTCATTGATTAGATTGCTGTAGTATCTGATTCCAACCTCATTCACACCATCATTTAACTTTCCACCTAATAATTAAAAACAAAAAAGCAAATAAGGAAGTAACTACATATATACTTTAGCCTTTTAATTCATTTTGGTTTGATTATTTTTTAATTAAGAACAAGATCTTGGTTATATTCTACCCTAGATAATAGGATACTTGAGCTAAAAACATAAAGGGAATAAGTGTATGGAGGAAAGCAAAATAATAATAATAAAGAACAAAAGTATAGTTGCGATTGGTCCCAGGCAAATATGTCAATGCTGATCATGAATTTACTTGGTAATAATCTGGGCCATGAAATAGAAAACCGATAAGCATCCAAGCCTATATCCTTCATAATTTCCACATCTTCCTGCAATACAAAACACAAAATATATCAAAATCAAGAAGCTAAAAGTAAGTATTTCATTTTCAAGCTTCAAAGTTTAATTGGTATGTACACATTGTGACCTTGAAGTACAAAAGGTGAAGAGAAAATTTGAACCTTATACTTGTGATATTGATCAAGAGTAACATCTCCATTGCTGCCATCAACGATCCTTTCTGTAATTAATCATAATTTTCTTTTAATTATTTGCAAAAATCATATCGTATGAACATGCTTGGGTGGATATACTAATTAAGTATCCGTACTACATGAATCTCACCATAAGTAAGTAAAGACGAAGTGATTTAGCTTTTTAATTTTTTTTTCGATAATGAGAAAAATATAAAGACGGCTTTGTTGATAATTCCCAATGAGTTATGTTATTTACATTCACATGTCTATTTTCCTACCCACCATATAAATTTTAAAAAAAAACACAATTCTATCTTTTCACCCACCATTATTCCTAAAATACCCTATAATTATTTGATGGTTTACTTGTATCTAAGCACTTCAGGGGGGGGTGTTATTGCTCATGTGTTAGAAGGGTGCTGTGCTTTGAGGATCAGAACAACTCAAGCTAATGTTGTGTGTTGTATTGTTTTTGGGTGCACGATGCTGCAGAATTTGGGGTGGTCATGCAATTCACACAGAACTTGCATGTTCCTGGGTGCATGATGATGATGCCGCGGAAGTTAAATTTGGGGATTTGGGAAACTGCTTTGTTGCTAACCTTTGAAGTAATAGGGATTTATAAAAAATTTCCGATCTTTTTATTACATGTATTAATATTTTTGGGATCTTTCTCAACTTTAGTAAAAAACCGCTTGGGTTAAAGTTTTTTCCTTAAATCTTTAGAAGTCATTTCACATAGGAGTAAATTTGTATTTAAAATTTTAAAAATAAGATAGATGAAAAAATACGACAAAGAATGGAAATAATCACACTCTTCTCAATAAGCCATCCAACACAAAAACAAAAAAAGAAAAAAAAGAAAAAAACAGAAGCAGCCAGGACACTATTGTTACCTAATCTTATCTTATCCAAATATGGGTCGAAAGTCGTTTTATTGGCTCAGTTGGGACCCATGGCATGGTCTGCAGCAGTCATTTTCCAAGAGAGGAAAATAAAATAAAATAAAGAATTAGAAGAGGTAATTTACACAAATATTCAATTGGGTGTCTGGTTATGAAAAATATGTCACCACCTAGATATTCGTCTAGTCATCACCTTTACATACCCTGTAGCTAATATTCTATTCTAAGCTGTCACCATAACTTTAGATAGTGACCAAAATCTAAGGACTTGATGTTTGTTCTGGTGTTTTCTCTTGGATCTCGTGTGGTAGGGGCAAAAGACTATTTAGCTACTACAAGCTATCCCCACATCCCCTTTTGTCACACCACTCTATGAGATGAGCCGATTAGAAATGGAATAGGATAACAAAAAGAGGAAACAAATGCGCATGGGAATAAATATGAACACCGCGCCAGAAATTTTTCTGTGTAGTAAATCTGTGGGTGGAGGTGAAAGAACTCAACCTTTTAAGAAATGAAAAATTGTAGATTTATTTTCTTAAATTTGCAAGGAAGGCATACATGTACAACACAACAAACCAACCCTGCAAATTATTATGGGCTTAATTATGTTTTAGGTTTCTTTAATTTGAAGGGAAAAAAGAAAAAAAGAATATTGGATTACACAGACAGACAGACCTGGATGTTTGTGGGTGTAGGAATCCCATATGCTTGGTCCTCGACCACCTTCATTTGCAGCGCCTTCATACTGAAATTATTAATGTTACACTCACTGAAGATGTCAATATGTTCTCGACGGATGGATGGATGCTAAATGAATTAGTAATAATAAAACAAAGATTAAGGGGTAAATCAAGACCTGGTAAGATCCTGAACCTGAGCCAAATATGAAACCTGGAGGAAAACTGCTCCTGTTGAGGAGAGCAACAGCTTTGTTATTCGTCAATAACGCAAAGCAAACCAGCAGCAGCAGCTCCTCCACACCTAACATCAAAGACCTTAATTGTTTTTCCATCACTAGGCGTTTGTTTGTGTTGTGGTGATCTTGATTCATTGTCTTTAGACTTTACTCAGATATATATAGTTCGGATATATTGCGTCTCCACTCGAACCTTTATCTTTAATTTTGACTAATATAGTTGGTGAGGTGATGCGTTTAGGATTCTTGGTTCTGGGCTTGGGTATTGAAATGTGTACAGAGATTTGAAATTACTTAAGCTTGCAATCGTTGCTTTATGAATACCCTATTTTTAGGTTTAATCAAGTTGAATGTTGGCTCAGGCCAGTGGTTTGAGGTTCAACAACTACCCATACAACCAACACTTCAAACCAAATGGTTGTTGGAGAAAGATGGATAAGAGAGAATATGGAAGAGAGTTTTAAACAGAAATACTGAAGCTTTATTGATTTCCTAAAAACTGATTACAACACTAGGCCATCTTATTGGCTATTTATAATAATATTCAGATCTTTTCATAACAGACATAACTCTTGGATTAGTTCCAAGAGTTGCAGACACAACTCTTGACTTCTAAAGAGATACAACTCTTCTTAAACAAAACTCTTCTCAAGAGATACAACTCTACTTTAATAACTGATACAAATGCATTACGTTTAACACTCCCTCTTAATGCATTTGTCCTGTGACATTTAGGTTTTCTCTGAAATAGTAGAACTTCTCTCTTGGAAGTGCTTTTGTAAAAACATCTGCAATCTGCTCATCAGTACCACAAAATTGCAATTCAATCTCTCCATCTTCAACCAATTTTCTGATAAAATAATGACGAAGTTCTATGTGCTTTGACCTGCTATGAAAGACTGGGTTCTTTGTCATGGCAATTGTGGACATGTTATCACAGTACAAATTTGTTGGAGTGTTTTGCTCTTGATGAAGATCTGCTAATATTCTTCTAATCCAAACTGCTTCACATGCTGCACTTGTGGCTGAAATATATTCTGCTTCGGCTGTTGATAATGCCACTGTACTTTGCTTCTTCGATGACCATGATATAACTTTTTTTCCCAAGAAAAACACATGCCCAGATGTGCTTCTTCTATCATCAATTGCACCAGCCCAATCACTGTCTGTGAACCCAACTAAAATGCTTTCTTTCTCTTGTGTATATTTGAGGCCATATCCTTTGGTTCCTTGCACATATCTTAGTATTCTTTTAACAGCAGCAAAATGATGATTACTTGGATCATTCATGAATCGAGATACAACACTAACTGCATGAACTATGTCTGGCCTTGTATTAGATAAATAAATAAGTGAGCCAACAATACTTCTATACATAGAAGCATCAGCTCTTGGTGCTCCATCATTACTTGAAAGCTTTAAATTAATTGCCATTGGAGTATCCATTGGCTTGCAGTTCAACATATTGAACCTTTTCAAGAGATTTTCTGCATACTTTTCTTGATACATAAAAACCCCTTTTTCCGATTGTTGGACTTGAATTCCTAGAAAATACTTCATAGAACCCAAATCAGTCATCTCATATTCTTTCATCATGTCCTTCTTGAATGCTTCTACCATCCTTGGTTTGGTACTTGTATAAATCAAGTCATCAACATAAAGACACACAATAAGAAAATCATGTGTACCTTCTTTCTTGAGATAGAGTGATGGGTCACTTGGACTTCTTACAAATCCACTTTGACAGAAATATTGATCAATTTTGCTATTCCAGGCTCTTGGAGCTTGCTTTAAGCCGTATAGTGCTTTCCGAAGTCGACAAACTTTGTTTTCATTTCCCTTTTCAATATATCCTTGCGGCTGCTCCACGTAAACTTCTTCTTCAAGTTCTCCATTCAAAAAAGCGGACTTGACATCCAATTGAAAAACTTGAGTTTTCAATTGTGCTGCCAAAGCCAACACAGTTCGTATAGTTTCCATTCGTACAACCGGAGCAAACGTTTTATTGAAATCTACTTCAGGTTGTTGAGAGTAGCCTTTGGCAACCAACCGAGCCTTATGCTTTTGTATTGAGCCATCTTCATTGTATTTTGTCTTGTAGATCCATTTAAGTCCAATGATGTCCTTTGATTTAGGCCGATCAACAAGCTCCCAAGTAGAATTTTTCTTGATAACTCTAATTTCTTCTTCCATTGCGTCGTGCCAAATTTTTTCTTTCATTGCTTCCTCAAATTTTTGAGGCTCCAAAGCACTCAAAACAAGATCACACGACTCATATATGTCTGCCAATGAACGCATTCTTGCGTTTAGTCTAGGAGTTGAATCTGGTGAACTAGGATCAGATGTTCTTGCACTTGGAATTGGACTTCTTGCCCTTGAAATTGGACTTTGGGGCAGCAGAGATTCTTCTAAATTTGATGTTTCTGGTTCCAGCAAAAAACTCTGTATTTCACCTTGTTTGTTTTCCCATCTCCATACCTTGAATTCATCAAAAATAACATCTCTAGAAATTACCAACTTATTAGTTCTTGGATCAATCAATCTGTATGCCTTGGACTTGTCACTATAGCCCACAAAAATATATTTTTCACCCTTTTCATCAAACTTTTCTCTCTTTTGAGAAGGAACATTTGCATAGGCTATGCAACCAAAGATTTTAAAGAAATCAACCTTTGGCTTAAACCCATGCCATGCTTCAA